ATAGTATAAGTGAAGATAGTGAAGATAGTATATAAATGAAGATAGTATAAGTTAGACTGAGATATAAAAACTTTATTATGAGGTCTCCAGTATGAAACATAGCGTTTCCGTACTAGAATTCAAAACGAAATTTCGAGAGGAGTAATTTCTCAGATCTTATTGATTAGAGAAATTAGGTTTTGATTTGAAAAAAAAAAAAAAAAAGAAAAATGTGTAAGTGTTATAAAAGAAAGTACATTTTTTTAAAGATAGAAAAAGCTGACAAATGCATAAAAACGTACTTGAGGATGGGAACAATAGTTTGTTTTTCGAGCAATTATATTAACAAAACACGCTGTCTTATTGTTAAAATTGGACAAATTTTGAACAAAATGTATCGACGAAAATGTATATTCAAAGTCGACGAACTGAATATGTATATCAACGTATATGCATAAAATGTACGCAGGACTACATTTACAAATACATACGCGTAAATGTTATTATACGTGAATACATTTCACCTAACACCGTCAGAGGCGAGTTGATTCATTGTGGTGATCAGTATTGTCGACTTGAACACACAATATTGTCGCGTACGTTTGTCACGCAAATGTGAGAGCGCAGAATGACTAGCTACTATTGTACTATTACTTTCGGTATATATAACTCTTCGCTGAGCTGTATTCGTATATTTGTCCATTTCAGCAACAGGCGAGCTTTTTTTTTCACCTACCTCACATTTCCCGTTACATTAATTTCAAAAACTGCACTGCAATGTATCACTATCTTCAAAAGTCAAACTTATCTCCTAGAACAAAATTATTATCCAGAATTAATTTAATTATCCGCATACAAGTTTATGTATGTGTATTTATCATGTATATAGAAAAATATCGTTCTATTATTACAATAGGAAAAATGATTACTCGGTTTATTTTTTTTTTTCATTTAAGTAATGGTTAACAAAAATATTTTTTTTTATACTAATCTTAAAATATGTTTATTACAAATTTTAGAAACATTCGAAGGAATGATTTTCTCTTGAAGAATATTATAAAATTTTTATCGCAGAAGCGATATTTATACATTGTAAAAAATAAAATGTTAATTTTAACCTATAGTCGTATAATGGACTTTCTGAGACTGAAAAATGTTAATTTTTACATTTTTGCGTGTCTCAGAAAGTTCACTATATGACTGTAAGTTAAAATTTTATTTTTTTACAGTGTATAATAAGCAATTCGAATTTGTTTTAATATAACAATATTGAAGTAATTAAACTTATTAGGATTTAAAATATATTTTAAATAAATATATTTTAAATAAATTTGATGCTTGTAATGAATTTACGGTAAAATTTGCGGATGGATGAACTTTTTTGGAACAACTAATTAATATTTAAATGTAGTATGTATTTTTCTGCGCGCACTGACGCGCGACTTTTGTGTGTGTGTGTGTGTGTGTGTGTGTTGCAAATTTGTGTTCTTTTATATAAATATTAACAAGGTATTACGATATCTGTAATTCTAAGAACACAAAACACACTGACATTGGACTTTTTTCCATTAAGATGTCCATTCCTTCGCTCGTACAAGGTGATCATGCGTTCAAAGAAGCTTGTTGTATAATGACTCTTAACAGGTAGCGCGATAGTTGGCAAATTGATCATTTCTTTACAGCGAGTGAATTTAAATATATTGCGAATGAATTTAATTACGAGTATACATTAGATAGAATTTATTGCTGGCGTTTTGCCGAAGCTGGCGTTTCCGCGAAACGGTTGACTCGCTTTGTGAAACGAACATGCATAGTGAATGGAGGCGCGCATTAGTAAGCGAGCAAAACGAACACGGGGCATGCAGTGCATCATGCATTGCAAAGCATCTATAGCCATTGATAGATAAATACCCATGAGGTTCCAAATCCACCGAATATTCCTGCGTTCAAAAAGCATTTGGAATATTTCTTTATTTATATTTTTTTGTTGTTGTATTTAATTTATTGTTGCAAAAATATTTCCATTGAATATTATGTTTATAAAAAAGTGAATTACACGTGCCTTTTTTAATGAGACTTTATTACAAGTTTTTCCTCTATGTGTTGTGTATTAATAGTTTGAAATTATTTCGTCATGAAATGAAATTTATGAAGTAAACTTCAAGTTATTATGTAATCTAAAATTTCTCTTTGAGCAAAGTCGGAAATTTAAGTTAATCGCTAAATAAATTTCCGTTTCTTATTTACGTTAGGAACGTCTCGAAAGGTTATTTGTCGGCTCTTTGATTTTTATTTAAATAACATCATAATTAAATTGCTGATTGAGCTTTTTATAGAATGAATTTAAAATTTGAAAGTAGGGTACTTTGCCAATTTTCATTTTACGAAATGTTTTGTATAATAGTGAATAATCGTTATTCAGCAGTGAACTTGAAGTAATAACGTGGCGTATTATAAATTAGATGGCTATAATGCAAATTGCAGCAGACGGTTTTCCATGAATGAATGCTCTTACGCATAGCGCACGTTGAACCTTAATTTACTTCCGAAAGGGGTGCATTATGGCGATTGCATTTAACGAGAGGATATGTGAGTGCTCATAATACTTTTTCTGTATATATAGTAGTATCGTTATCGTTAACGTTTATTTATTGACTTTTGTTATTACAAAATTTGGACGCTTATAATATAATATATTGCCGGAAATATTTTTTTCCAATCTGTCTCTCTTTTTTTTCTCTTTCTTGCCATTCTTGATTATATTTTGAAATAATTCAGTCTATTGATTTAATTTCTAATGATTGAATAATATATTGCTTTTATATTAATTGTTACAGAAAAGCAACTTGTTAAAAAAATTCTTCTTTTCAATTTATATATGAGATATATGACGTTGAAAAATTTTTCAAATATTTTCAAACGAAATTACTTTGTATTTCCGTTGCAGGCCTGAAGTGTAAATTTCATCAGTTTCGGATACAAAACCACAATTTGCTTGATTTGTAAGGCTTTCGCTTTTTATCATGGAAAAACAAACGAGAGAAGATGGCACTATCTTGCCGCTCGAAAGCCCGCGACTTGTTCTCGTAAGAATGAAAAACAGTTATTAAAGTTTGTCTCCAGCTACGAGAAAAGTGTCACTGAACATTTTACTTAATTTTTTTTCTCTGCTCGTATTTGCTTTTATTACGTTTCTAGAATTATAGTTCTCGGAAGAAAAACGTTCTTCTTTTCATGATGATATTCGCGATGTGTAATTTCTCCTGTAATGAGTCGTGGAAAATGATTTCCCACTTTCACGTTTGCGTCTGAATATGCAATGTGTATTAAAATTGAGCGATGAAAATCAGTTTATAAACGTTCCCGTCACGAATATTAAGGTTGAATGAGTAACTTTTTAATATTTAATATCAGCTCAATGCTGAGTTTCGTTGCGTTGTGAATCAATTACAATTTTATCATTTAAATTATGACGAAATTTCGAATCAATTTTACATAATATATTCTCTTTTGAATTAGCATAGCATATGTAAAACATTTATACGTAATTTCTAATTCTTAATACGTTTAAAGAGAATTAATAAATGATAATTATATTATAATGCTATAATTTATACTATTATATCGTTATCAATATTTTAATTATAATTCATTAATTCTCTTTAAATATATTAAGAATTAGAAATTACGTAAACGTTTTGCATATGCTAATTCAAGAGCCAAGTTTTTTTCATGATTCATAAAATTAACTCTATTAGTATAATTAATTTTTTTATCAAGCTGATGCTATTTGCCTTTCTTATGTTTTTTTTCTGCTTTACTGAAACAGTTTTCTGTTTCAATAAAATAGAATAACTTTGGCTCAGTAAAGATAACTTGGTTCAAATTAAAAAAAATTACCTAGAAGTTTTATGTCTCAACTTTAATATACGTTCTATCTGGGAATTATTATAATGTCACTTTAATATACGAATTTGTCGATTAATATTGACGAAATTTAAAAATGAATAAATTAAAAAAATTTAAAAGTGATTTATTCTACATTGCAACATATATAAGCACGAGTTAAATAAATCAAACATTCATAAATCTAACATGGCGTGAAAAGATTGTTTGTTTGCTACAAATCTGCTGAGAATTTGTAATGAAAATGCATCTCTCTCGAGGGA